TTGCTTCTTCTATATTTTATTGTTTGTTAGATTAATATTTCATTTTTAAATAAAGTAATATAAATAGAGCTTGATTAAATATTAGTATACTTTAATTTGCAAAGATAATATAAACTTCGAAGAAATTTTCTCGAAAAACTAAACTTATAGCTTCATAAATTAATATTATAAAGAATTTTATTAAAAAAGAATTTTTTAAACAATTTTTAAAAAACATTTTCAAAATTTACATCGAATAAATTTATCTAGTATATATAGCGTGTAAATTTTGTTTGGGTATATAAATATTCCATATTATGAATCCGTGATTTTTGTTAATATATTGTGGCTGCATTTAACTATTATTGGCATATTTCCTTATAAATAATAAAAGATTCCTAAACTTATATATATATTGATATATTTTGCGTGACTAAATTGGAAGGTGTGGAATAATTTACCCAAACCAAATGGTTAAACGTATCTTTATTATTATAGATATAAATTTTTTATAAGATATAATAATGATAAGATTATTAGAGAGTTAATGTAACATGACTTTCTAGTAATAGTCCATTTTTAAAAAAATCACACATGAAGTCAAGTCATGACTTCTGTTTTAATATATAAGATAGAGAAAATATAAGTAACAAAACCGCGCGGATATCTATGTCACATCTAGCAATAATGTAACCAAATGATGGAGTTTTATATATTTTCATCTGAGAGACATTGACAGAAATATCTAAAAGACTAGTATGGTTGCCATTTATGGAGTTCAAAATCAAATTGACTTACGATGGATCCAACAACCAACCGTAACTTTCCTTTACTGTGATAAATTTCATCAGCTGCAATTCTGATAAAATATTCCCTTGTTGTTATTGAACTACGGATGCTCATTGCTCATTATTTCATCCTCGTCTGCTATAAATAGAGGGCATTCAGTGTAACATTTTATTCATCACTTGTTTTCATAAAAAGAGTGTTATAACATAAGCAATTGAATACAATGGCTTCTAAGACTTTGTTTCTGTTGGGTCTCTTTGCACTTCTTCTCGTCGTCTCAGAAGTGGCCGCAGCATCTGAAAGCCAGTCGGGTACGTAAAAAATGTTTTGTTTTTTTTTGCGTAAAAAATGTTTGTAAAGCAAATTGCACTCTCCCTAACTAACGTAACATTTGATAAACGATATACATTTGTCTATTCTCAGTCCGGAAAGATAATTTGAACAACGGTCAACGTACGGGTCAATTCACTCGACTTGCTAAAAAAACACTTATATATGATGTTTCATTTTTCTTATAATCGAAAAACACTTTTATATTTTTAGGAAAATTTTATAATCGAAAATAAAATCTAATGATGTAATTTTTAACGAGAGTTCCGTACAATCTCAGAAGTTATAAAACGAAAAATATTATGGAATCCGGGAGACAAATGCACATTTGCTCATGCTAGACATATTTTGAAACAATGTGTTGTTGACAGGGACTGTGAAGTCGGAGAGTAAGCAAACCGTGCAACCTGATCAGTATGATGGGGGACATGGCGGCCACGGAGGGTACAACGGAGGAGGACACGGGGGATACAACGGAGGAGGACACGGGGGATACAACGGAGGTGGACGTGGGGGATACAACGGAGGCCGTGGAGGAGGTGGTTATTGCCGCCATGGTTGCTGCTACAGAAATTACCGTGGGTGCATAAGGTGTTGTTCCTATGCAGGAGAAGCTGTTCAGACACAGCCCGGTCACTAAGCTATATAATGTATTCACCACTATGCATGGTTTGCGTCTATATAGATACACACTTATGTGTGTGTGCAAGTAGTAAACCGTGGTGCGTTTGAAATGAAGTAAGAAGAAAAATCTATGGGAATAAAGTTTAATGATGTAATGTTTCTTTGTTTTGAGTTGTGATCTTTGCTGTTTGGATAATAAAATCGTTTCTAGTTTATATTTTCTTCTTTCGGTTTTGGGTGCAATGCATGAAGAATATATATATTATTGGTCTATAAGAGCATTTCTAATCTAAAACTCTATTTTTTTTTCCAAAATGAAATAAAAGTGATTATAATGAAATAAAAATACTCCAACTCCACTCTATTTATAGCTTCATAACAGAGTAGTGAACAAAGAAAAAATAAATTATTCCATTTATAATATAAATTTCATTATGGAATAAAAAATGAAATAGGGTTTGGAACATACTTTTACTCCATTTGGAAGTAAAAAAATGAAGTTGAGTTGTAGATACCCTAAGACCTGCATACCTTGTTGTAAACTTCTCTGGCTATTTATGTAGCCCTGTTTTAATATACAGAGACCCTTCAAGGCCCAAGGAATCTTCAATATAAATATGGCAAGGAATTTTGTTTTCTTAAAGAGTCAATTGGGTGAATATACCCAAATCGATAAAAAATTAAGAAACTACCCAAAATCATTAAAAACCTATGTTCACTGTAGATAATTATGTCCCCCTTTCCAATTTTACCCCTGCCCTAAATTTTCATCTTCTTTCTCTTTCTTTCCCTAACAGATCTCTCTCCTCTCTCTCTTTCTCTTCCAATTTTCTTAAAGCTTCATATCTCTAAACTGAAACATAAAACAAAAATAGAAAGAAAATACAATAAATTAGTAAATCTCTAATATGAAAACATAAAACAAAAGTAAAAAAGAAACATAATAAACATTTAACTAAGCTGAAATATAAAACAATTGTTAACCGTTAATAATGTATCAGCTGAAAAGATAATTATTAACTTAACACAATAATTTATTTTTGCCATTCAAATAAATATATATCAAGTACCAATAGGTATTTTTAACACATTGACAACCAATTTAAAAAGCGTTAACTTATTTTTTAACAGTTAACCGAATAAGTATCGGTTAATGAAAAGATATAATATAAAATGTAACTGCTAAGTTTTAACGTCAAATGTTATACGACTTGTTAGATCGGTAATCAATTTTGTACCAATAGGTATTTTTAACACATTGACAACCAATTTAAAAAGCGTTAACTTATTTTATAACAGTTAACCGAATATGTATCAGTTAATGAAAAGATATAATATAAAATGTAACTGCTAAGTTTTAACGTATAATGTTATACGACTTGTTAGATGGTAATCAATTTTGTACCTTTTAACAAACTAGGTATCAATCAATGTTGTTATTTATTAACATCTGATAAACCATTTTAAAAATCTTTTAACGTGTTTTGAAACAACTAAGCTAAGATTTACATGCTAACAATACCCGACTTGTAACAACTAAGCTACGGTTTACAATAATCGAGTTTTTCCATTCAAGTAAATATATATCACGTACCAATAAGTATTTTTAACATCTTGGTAACCAATTTAAAAAGCGAAAACATGTTTTATATCAGTTAACCGAACATGTATCGGCTAATGAAAACATATAATATAAAATGTAACTGCTAAGTTTTTACGTACAATGTTATACGATTTGTTACATCGTAACCAATTTCGTATCATTTAACACACTAGGTATCAATCAACGTTGTTATTTATTAATACTAATAAACCATTTTAAAACTCTTTTAACATGTTTTATAACAACTAAGCTAAGATTTACCTGTTAACAATATTCGACTTGCATCTGTATCATCTTCATCGTGGTCTTCACCAAAACCATCAGCTTTCGAGATCTGATTCTCTAGGTCAGTCAAAACCATCTTTGTTTCCATCAGAAAAGTGGATGGAGAAGATAAAGGTCGTGGATCCCGACTTCCTTGTCACCAGATCTACTTTGTGTCTGTTGGATCTCTGCTGCTCCATCGAATCTCACGGCCGACCACGATGAACTGAAGCTGTTGCTGTTTCGTGGGGGAAACTTGAGGTTTCACGGTGGTTATTTCCGGTTTACCATTTGCGGCCGTTTTCAAAGTGATTTTCTTTTGAGAAAACCCTAATTTTGAATCAAAAGAGAGATCTGGAATTGATGAAGATAGAAAAAATAAATAAAGAGATTGTTTGGTTAAGAGAGATATAAGATACTAGAGATGAAGAGAGAAAGATACAATAGTTTGGGCAGGGGTATTTTCGTATTAAAAAAAGTCAAATAGTGTCATGGGTAGATGCTTAATTTTGTTCAGTATCGTGTATATACGTCCCAATTACTCTTTCTTAAAAGCAAAGACAATATAGATTATATTGAGGTTTGAGGTTTTGCATACACAATACATTTACAAAGTTTAGTAAAAATATATCTATATGTTTGTACATGGATCAAAAAAATTAAAATTCATAGACTCCGGACCTGGCTTTGAACTCTATTGAGTATCTCTTGTATTGCAATGGTATCAAAGTTACTGCAAAGCTAATGGCGCCGCACCAATAATTTGCTTGCTTTGAATCAGCCTTTGTTAAAAGCAAACTTTTACTAATATATAATAGATGAATAAGGAGTGCTTTCATTTCATGGTACCTAATCAACATAAAGTACGCGAAATCGTCTCATTTTCTTATTTTGTAACTTTTTAATCTCAAACACCTTTACATGTTAATCGTCATATAATTTCTTCATCTTTTCTCTTCTACATACATTTCATAGGGCTGGTACTCCTAAATACATGAACGGTAATCGCATCATTCATGGTTGGTACGCCTACTCCACTCTCCATTTGATGTGATCTTCTAAACCAAAAATTAGTTTAAGTCTTTTTTTTTTCAAAAAAAACAGAAAAGAAAAGAAGGGTAAGTCATGATGAAATACTTGTTCTTCCTACGGATTTGAAAATTACAGATAGAACTCTTTTACTCTTATTTGATCAGTCAAAATAATCTTATACTTTTTAAGGTTGTTAAAAAGTATGTGCATACCTATACCGTTAGATTAATAACCCAAAAAAGGACCGGTTCTTTGACTGGTCCGCTTACGTACCGGCCGGTTAAGGTATTTGATCGCGTTGGGGGAGTGAAGACAGATTCCAACTGCAATTCCGCGAAACCAAACCTAACAGCCATTTCTGGAATTTTCAATCATCTTCTTCTTCTTCTTCTTCTTCTTCACCTCACACCCTAAAAGGAAGCCTCTAAAACCTTCCTCTCTCTCTCGATTCACCGATCAACAACCATTTCACTTCTGATCGTTCAAAGAGCTCTCCGATCTCAATCAACATGTCTTCAATCGGCGCATCTCCGGTCTCTTTTTTTTCGCTCTCTCGATCTTTGCTAATTATTCTCTAATTTACACTCTAAATTTGACAATTTATATCGTGAAATAAGCAGAGACATGTTGATGCTACGGAGAACAGCTTGGAAAAGATCAAGCGACAGCTAGCAACTGGCTCTGGTCGGAACTTGCTACAGGGACCGCTTTACAAGCGGTCTGAAACTGTAATTTTTTTTTTAATTTATTTCCTCAATTATTCTTTTGATGGGTTCTCTTTAATTTGTGTGGATTGATCAAAAGTCTCTTACTTTAGTGAACTTGCTTGAGTATAGAGTTGTATAGCTTAATCATCAATTGTTTGTTTTGGCTTGAAATGTCTTGGGTTATTACAAGTCTTACACTGATACCATCTGTTTGTTTCTGTATATGTGTGAATTAGCTAAGAAAATGGAACGAAAGATGGGTGATACTTGATCCAACCACTGGGAAAATGGAGTACAAGTGAGTACACTATCATTTGCTTTTGTAGCTTCTGCTTCATGTCTGTGAGATCACTTCATGGGGTATTGTATCAAATTCTGATGAATTTACATGACTCAGGACGAGACGAAATGAACCCGCTATCAAGGGAACGATTCTGTTTGACGAAAATAGCACTATCACTGTCTCTCCTGTCAACTTCCAGTATGCATTCTACATTCTCTTTTTCTTTTTTGTTCTGACCAACTAGCATTTTTAGGTGTATATTTGTATTCTGAATTCTATTTTCTTCTGTGTTTCAGGGGGCTTCCGAAATACAATGGTTGCTGTATATGTATCCTTGTTTCTAGTATAATGTTGGCAAGTTTATAGTTCTGTCTTTTGTTTGAAAGGAGATGATTGATTGATGTAGAGTTGAGTTTTTCTTCAACATGATCTAGATATTAGTACGCCACAGAAGAAAGATTACTTTTTGTGTGCGGAGACTACTGGTGCAGCTAGAGCTTGGGTTACTACTTTACAGTAAGTCATCTGGTTCTTGATCTTTGTCCTTCTTTTAGCTTACCAATCTCTTAAATATATGCCACCACGCTTATCCTTGTTGGCCCTTGGAATATTATTCAGTGCGACCCAACTAGTTCTAAAGGCGCATAAGGAGGCTGTTGATTCTCTAAGCGGAAGTGGTTCTTCAACACTTGGTACGGTTGCGACCGTTGTTGCCGCTGCTAATTCAACAGCACTGGAATGTTCCAAAGAAATTCAAGCTTCAATGCAGGTCTCTCTGAGGAATGCTTTGAAAATCACGGCGAATAAACCGATCGATGGACCACTAGATGATTTGACTATAATGAAGGTCAGCTATTTTTTCTTCTCTCTTTCACCTTGACTTTAGGATACATTCACTGCATATAGCATATAATGATATATCCTGCAGTATCTTACTGAGTGATATAAAGCATATAGAGACATCTTTCATGAAACGTAACATTAAAGAATTATCATAAAGCATATCTTCCAGCTTTATTCTATTTTATTGAGCCATTCGCATGTTGCAGGAAACTCTGCGTGTGAAAGATGAAGAACTACAGAATTTGGCGCGAGAACTTCGTTCACGTGACTCAACGATAAAAGAGCTAGCAGATAAGCTATCTGAGACGGCTGAAGCAGCTGTAGCGGCAGCATCTGCAGCTCATACAATGGATGAACAGAGGAAAATTGTTTGTGTGGAACTTGAGCGCTTATCTAAAGACTCAGAGAGACAGCAAGAAGCGGCTATATTAAAGGTAATGACGAGGCCTTGTCATATATTCATCTTTATTGTTGTTAAATTGATTGTTGTGTCTACCATGTAGCTCAAGGAACTGGATGAGAAGACATCTACTCTGAGTAGGGAAAAAGATCAATTGGTTAAGGAAAGAGACTCTGCTCTCAAAGAAGCACATATGTGGCGGTCTGAGCTTGCAAAAGCCAGAGAGCGTGTCGTCATACTTGAAGGAGCTGTTGTGAGAGCCGAAGAGAAAGCGAGGGTTGCAGAAGCAAGTGGTGAAGCAAAAGCAAAGGAGGCTTCTCAGAGAGAGGCAACTGCTTGGACGGAGAAGCAAGAGCTTTTAGCATATGTGAATGTTTTACAAACCCAGCTTCAAAGGTCAGCATATCTGAATCTAACTTCCACTCTATAGTGTGTTATAACTCTCTTCTATCTTTTGAATAAACAGGCAGCAACTAGAGACGGAGCAAGTGTTTGAAGAGAAGACTGAATCTACCAACGGCGAGACATCTCTTCCGATGACAAAAGAAACAGAAAAGGATGTGGATAAAGCATGTCTGAGCGTTTCGAAAACAGCGTCTATGCCGGGAGAGAATGTAGTCCATATGAGTGAAGATCAGGTGGTAAACGCCCATGCTCAGGCTCCGGTTGGTGAAAACGAATGGAATGATATTCAGGCAACAGAGGCAAGAGTTTCTGATGTAAGGGAAATATCTGCAGAGACTGAACGAGACAGCTTGGATATCACAGTAGTAACCCCTGAATCTAATGTCCCACGCAATGATCTGCCTCCAGAATCTTTTCATCATCAGCCTTGATGAATAATTGGTGGACCTTGGTACATTTTTCATATACTCTGATGGTTTTATAATGTTTGGAGAGTTGTCATTTGGGTTTTCTTGTACCTCGAGATTTGTCTATGTATCAGCAACCTCTTGAGTTTCTGCCTGACTTGGGAAGGATCCTTTTCCCCTCCTTTATTGCAACATGAAAGAGATTTAGTATCTTGCTGGATTCCAAATCCGACACACATTTAGCTATTATGATGGTGTTGATAGTTCAAGGATGTTCTCATATGAATCATATATTTAGTGTAGTTTTTTTATTCCTTTTGATGGCATATCATTTGTGTAGCTGAGAATCCTTTTTCTTAGACTTAATAGTTGTGGAAAGTGATGTGAAACTGAAATGACCAGAAGATAGATAATCAAGTTCCTCTAATAAAAGCCTCACTCAATCACAGAGTGCACAAAGGGAAACACAAGAGAGATGTAACATACATAAGATAAGAGGAGGGAGGAATACAGATTCACTCTTTATTAAACCTCACATTAAACACAGGCATTGCTTAGAAACTCCAAACACACAAACAAAGAACAAGAACATGATCATCATCATCATCATCTTTAAGCAGGGAATGAATACTTCTCAAGAGTCTCCTTCCAAGCAGGACGGCTGCTAATATCATCCCACCACGCGCTAACGTGCTTCCTGTCTTTGATCAAGTAAGCCTTCCCAATAGGACCAACCAAGTAATCAGTGAAAGGGAGGTGAGCCAAATCAGCCAAGCTGACGAAATCACCAGCCAAGTACTTGCTCTTGGAGAGATGTGCCTCGTAGACGTCGAGCACAGCTGCGAGCTTCTCCTCGCTCTCCTTGATCAGCTTCTCATCAGATGGGAATCCCATGACTGATGCGAACATGATGTGGAGTGTGAGGTTAAGTAGAGGTGGGTTGTAAGTAGTCGCCTCTACGTCGAGCCACTGCTCTACTTGTCCTCTTTCTTCTACGGTTTTGCCCAAAAGGTCTGGTCCTTGGGACCTGTACTTCTCAGCTACGTACCTCATCACCGCACGTGACTCTGTAATAAGAAAAAAAAACATCTATTAGTATCTCACATAGATACATACAAAAACAAGAACCAAGATAACAATCTTGTACATATGTCTTAAACTGTATCAAGAATCTTAGATCATGTGTTAAGCAACCAAGATTCAGTTTGGTCGGAACTAAAACATTGAGATATGATCTAATAACGTACCGAAGATCTTGTAGTCACCGTCGACAACAGCAGGAACGGTACCGAAAGGCTGCATAGGAAGAAACAAAGAAGATCATCAGAATCTTGAAAAGAGTATTTAGAGGAGATCAGAGGACAAGAAGAAGAGGGAACCTGTAAGGCGAGATAAGCAGGCTGTTTGTGTTCTCCTTTCATGAGATCGACGGGGACGGTCTCGAAGGGAACACCCTTCTCGATGAGCGTTACCAGAGCACGCTTGGGTGAAGCAAAGTGAGGTCCGTACACCTTGAGCACCATCTTTTCTCTGTACTTCTATTACAAAACAAAGACAGTTAAGATTGTTAGTAAGTGATATTGAGACTGTGATGATGAGAAGCCATCTTTATAGCAAAGGAGCGGAGGCTTGGCAGATAGACGGATCATTATTTGTGACATGTGGCGTTGCGTTTTCTTAAGATATCTTCATTCTTACTTTTATTTTATTCTTCTTTTAAACAAAAATAAATGTTTATTTTATTCCATTTATACTTTTTTTTTGTTTGAATAAACATTTCCATTTATATTTACGGTAGATAACTTTGTAGCTATTAAATATCCATCAATTAGATCATGACACGTAACATGTATATAAAAAACTAGATGAGGTTACTTCTCGTATTGATTGATTGTATGTGATTCATATACATAAATTAATAATACTGCAATTTTGAATTTTTATTAATCTATAAATATATTATAAAAAATTTCTTATTTAATTTTTTCTATTTTTATTTATAAAAGAAAACAATATTTAATTTTATCGTATATATATTATTTAAATTTAAAAAAAAATAATTTTTATATTATTTTATTATCTTATTTGGTGTATATTTTTATGTTTCATAGAATTGTTACGTGGTTTTAGATATAGTTAACTAAATATTATCAAAATATATTTAAATATTAAAAAATAAAAGTATTTTTATTGTAAATATTAACCAACAATATAAAAAACTACAATCTAACATTATATATAAATAGTTTTTTAATTTATGATTTTAATAGAATTATATATTTACATAGTAATTTGAATAACGTTATTATTTTATTATTTTATCGATTTGTGTCATATTTTACACCGGCCAAAGTTATAATAATTATGAGAGCATAATATTTCACTTGATTAATAATTTTTTAGTGAGGCCTAGAATAGTTTAAAAGTGTAAGTAAATATTTACTCTATATTATTGACTATACAACCACATCCACTATATTTTTGGTTGGCATTCTCACTTACAATATTGTCCACTAGTTTGTAACCTAAAACACTCGACAAGTAATTGTATCACTAATTATGTTATGCTTTTGTTTTAATTAAAAGAAGAAGAAAATAGAAAGGAGCAAGACAGGGAGAAGAAAACAAAGATAGGTGGTTCGAAGTAGGTAGGTGAAACCAAAATAAAACGTGAGAGAATGAGCCCAACCGTTTATCGAACCACATGCCTCAATTATCATTATGGTAGGTGTGCTTATGACTTGACCAGTTTTTTTTTTTTTTTTTTTGGGCAAAATGACTTGACCAGTTATGTGTTTAAATTAGTCTTTTGATTTATTTGTTTCAATTTAAATCTTTTTAACACTTTACTAACAAGTAAAAAAGCGAAATAAGATTTCGATTCAAAGTTTATAAGTATTCACTGAAAATAGAACTGTAATTTTATAAAACAAGATTCTACCACATTAAATATATCAGCAATAAAAAAAAATTGAAGATGCTTTGCAAATAATTTGAACGTTGAACAGGTCTCATCACCATTTTCATTCAAGACCCAAAAAGCATCCGAGAGATTTCGGTTGATAGTGATCTCTTTTGATTTCTTATAGTTGTCGTTTGTCATCATTAAAGAAAAAGAAAAAAAATCGTTAGTCATCATCATCACTCATTTTAGTCACTAACATTCGTATTTTAAATTACTATACATTTACAGTTTCTAAATAAACGATACGCAGTAGATAATATAATGGGGATGTAGCTCAGATGGTAGAGCGCTCGCTTAGCATGCGAGAGGTACGGGGATCGATACCCCGCATCTCCATTTCTTTTCTTTTTATTTTAAAAACTGTTTCGGTTTGACAGGTCGAAAAGATGAAAGTGGGAAGGAAAGTTCGAGCCCCACCATCTTCCGACACCAAAGCTCATGTAAAGCATTTAAACACCGTCTTCTAATCACTTAAAGCATTGTAAACTTCACCAACTTTGAGCAAAGACTATTCTTCTCATTAGAAAGTTTTGTCTCTTCGTTCTGATTCTGAACAAACACAAACAAAAAAAAATGAGTAAAAGGTCTCGTCGACGCCGGAATCTAAGAGATCCCTCGTATCTTCCACCACTTTCATCTAACTTCAACGTATCTAACCCCACCACCACAGCTTCTCATCCCTAACGACGAAGATCCCAACGATCAACCTCGGAGGTGGCGTGTTCGAGTCCACCGTCACGCGACAGAGCGTGATCTTAAAGATTAAGGAAGCATTGGAGAGATACGGGTTCTTCCAGGCGATAAACCATGGGATTCCGGTCGATGTTATGGAGGAGATGAAAGATAGGGTTTGTGGGTTTCATGAACAAGACTCTGACGTGAGGAAGAAGCTTTATAGCAGGGATAACACCAAGTATGCTTTATTCCGTACTATATAACACTAAAGAAATCTGATTCAAGCATACACAGAGACAGAGCTTTTTTTTAATCTTCTTTCTCTTATTATATTTGTCGGTTCCCCATAGTTAACTCCTTTTATTCCTTTTCCGAAATGGTTTTCTAAATCTTCTACTGTTTTTGTCGTTCTAAATAGTTATCCTTTCTTCATTTTTTATATATTTTTATTTGATCTTCAAGTTTTTCTGTTGTATTTTCTCAGTTAATTTATTAACGGTTTCTATTAGGATTTTACTGTTAATAATACATCATCCAATTCTTGTAATTTGTCAAATTCGTATAGTATTTCTATAAAAAAAATTTTATTTCAGAAATATATTTTTGTATTTCTTCAATATGCTCAATTGAATCTATAATTTTATCTAGTTTTTCTTGCACTATTCTATTTATTTAAATTTGGTTAATTGATATGTTACCAATTATTTCAGTTTGATTGTTTAGTATTCCACATATTATTCTTAACGAAGGATTAATTTTATGATTTTCATGTTTGCTCCCATCATATATTCAGTGTTTTCCATCACATTTTTTTAATGGTATATTTTTTTCTTTATAGAGTATAACTTTAGGTATATTCGATAGTTTTATCTATAAATTCGTCTATTTTTATAAATTTATTAGTTTTTCTATTATTTTGATTTCTTCATTTTTTGGCTTATTAGCTTTCCTTCCTGTTCTGAGTATTCTAATGCTCGTTTTTATTCTTAATTACAACTGCAGATAATAATTTTATAGCTCTTTTTTCTATTCATTAATATTTTTCAATTTTATTACTATTTTATTGGGTTTTGATAGCGCAGATACCAATTTTTTTTTTACAATTTTGACCCTGCTTTTTCATAGTTTATTATGTAGTGTTGTTATAGACCAATCTAATTTATTTAGTCTATGATTGATTTGTTGTAGCTCATACGCACTACTGATTGACTTTTTTCTTTCTTTATAGGTTATGTTCTAGTTACTCTTAATCTACTAGAGCTAAGTTCTAAAAATTTTAACTGTGGAATATATGTCCTATTTATTTGATCGCTTATATTTTTCTTTGATATAAACTTAACAGTGGTTATTTATTTAAACAATTTTTCAAAATATATATCATTTTTGTTTGCATATTCAATACAATGTGCAGATGAGGATAAGACGTATCCAACAGCATACATAATTGATAGCAGATGATCTTCATCTTCCATAAGATCATGTATTTGGAAATCGTAGATAATTCCAATTGAATTGTTAAGGTTTTTTGTTGTTAATGGCATGCCATATTTGACAAACCACATTAAATTTAACAACTGTGTATTTTAAATTGCTATCTACTATTCTAATTATTTTATTGTTTTCAACATGAATTTTTTTATCAGTTACTACTAACCTAATTGGGGAATCAATATTCTTTTTAAATGTTGACCTTACTATTATTTGAATTGTTTCTATGTGTCTATACAATATTTTCTATTGATGATTTGATTTCATTTTACTTATGTTTTCGTTTATGGCTTCAGATGAAATTGCTGTTAATGTGAATTCACCGCGAGTCGATTCAGTTGGTAACATAAATCCTTGTGTGAAATTTCCGAAGTATAATATAGTTTTTCTTTTTAATATTTCTGATAATCTATTTCTATGTACATCTTGATCATTTCTTAATGTTATTTTTGCTTCCTTCTCAAGATTTTTGATTTTTGATCCTTGGATTAATATACATATTTTCAAAGAAATTATTGTATCGATAGTACTAATAAGTTATTTTGTACGATGTTCTGAGTTTCTTCGTTATCGGACATACGTGGAATGTGCTATAGTTGATTTTTTGTTGGTTGTAATGGTCGCCTGGATTTGATTGAACTTCTTTGATTCTTGGGTGTTTTTAATTTGTTTTATGAGTTTTTAAGAGAAAACTACTATTCAGAAGGTTTAGACTTTCAACAGTTATAGCTTTTTAGAGAACAGTTTTCTCAACTCTTTAAAACGAAACTTGTTCGATTTTTATTTCACTCTACTCTTATACCAACGAGGTTCACACACCTACTTATACTACATATGAGATAAGGACAAAACTATTTTACAAAATAAAGATAGACGTGTGGCTCATTATTATCCACTCTTACAAAGATATCGTGTGGAATCTTATTTTTCCACTTTATTTATGTAGATAGCTATATTAGATTTACATTTTTTGACGTGATTATTGTCGGATGTCTACATTTTTTTGATTGATTCTTAAATTATTGGTTGCTAAGTCATGCCTTCTTCTTCAATCACTTCATCTTATGGTTCTTCGTCTTTGGTTCCGCAGATTGTGCAAGTGTGTGGTTCTCCAAGTTTAACTTCAAACTGTGTTTTTCTAAGTAGCTCATACATTCAGTGATGATATCTTGGGTATTTGGTGAAAGTATTATCCCATATTATGAAAACAAATGGGATTCTTTCTTATTTAATCTATGTTTCTTCAGCTGCTCTAGTGAGTAGTAACGTTGAATTACTTTTGTAATTAAGGCGATGGTTGTTACTTAGGTAAAAGGTTTTTCTGGGAATTCAGATTGTTAACTCGGCATCTACTCAAATCCTATCTTCGCTATTATATTCAATATTTGCTGGGTCGTCCTTTGTTGGATATTGCCCGTTGCATATTTCCTTAATAATTACATTCGATGTTGGACAACTGACTCCTGATTCTCATGTTTCTGTTATTTGGAACTCTGGG